GTAGGCGTAAGATTCACAGGGACCTTGATAAATCGGAAAATTGAACAAAAAGAAATCTCATGAGGTTCAATAAGGAGAAGTGCAAAGTTGTTCACTTAGGACAGAATAATTCTATGCACTACTACATGCTAGGTACTGTAACTGGCTAAGCAGCAGCTCTGCAGAAAAGGACCTGGGGGTTACAACCAACCCACAGCTTGGTTGAATATGAGCAGGCAGTGCATCCTTGTTGCGAAGAAGGCTAACAGCATACTGGGCTGCGTTGGTACGTGTATTGCCAGCAGATCAAGGGAAGTGATTATTCCCCACTACTCAGCACTGGTGAGGCCACATCAGGAGTACTGTGTCCAGTTTTGGCCCCTCCACTACAGGAAGGATGTAGACAAATTGGAGAGTCCAGCAGAGGGTAACAAAAATGGCTAGGGGGCTGGGGAACCTGACTTATAAGGAGAGGTTGAGGGCACTGGGCTTATTTAGTCTGGAGAAGAAAAGGCTGAGAGGGGATTTAATAGCAACCTTTAATACCTGAAGGGTGGTTACAAAGGGGATGTAGCTAGGCAGTTCTCAGTAGTGGCAGGTGACAGAACAGGGAGCAACAGTCTCAAATTGCAGCAATGGAAGTTTAGCTTAGATATTAGGAAGACGTTTGTCACTAATAAAGCACTGGAACAGGTTACCCAGAGAGGTGGTGGAAGCTGCATCCTTGGAGGATTTTAAGACCTGGTTAATCAAAGCCTTGGCTGGAATGGTTTAGCTGGGGATGGTTCTGCTTTGAGCAGGAGTTTGGGCTAGATGACCTACTGAGGTCCATTCCAACCCCAATTTTCTGCTTCTGACACCATGGATTCCTGTTTGAAATCTCTGAGTTTATTTTGTGAATCATGCACAGGTGTTTGCATAGCACCCCACATTACTCTGGTTGAGAATTACTGCTTCAGGAGACATCACACTGGCCTGTGTCCTGTATCGCTTAAAACTCAGAACATCTTCACCAGTAAACAAGCAGAGCCATTTTTCTCTCATCCTTAAAAGGCTCAGCACTTAACATACCTAGGAACAGATCTTGTCAGTGCTTGCTAATCTGTTTTTCTAAGGGTTAAATATCTGTTTGTCCTGGGGTTTTTTCTCTCTAGGTTTCCACATTTTGGCAAAATGACAGTGTTTGCCACATCCACATCAGATTTGTCCCTATGAAAGTGTTTCTTATATCATGGCTATGACTACATTAAAAAAACAAGAAAAAAAAACTCTGATTGCCTCTAATCTGTTTTTTTCAGTTCTTTAGGTCAAAGTTTTTATTGGCAGCCCACTGCCTCCCAGTCCTTGATGTCATTTCTTAAAGATAGTCTTGTTGACAATGCATGCATGCATACGTTTTCCTAGTTCACTCTACTGCTTTGCTTACATTGTCTCTGCCCAACGTACGTCCATGGTGACAACAACCTTGCATGTCATGAGTCTGATGCAATATCACACACAATGAGGGACTCAACAGTTTGCCAAATTTACAAGTCCGTGCTGCCCGTTTTAACTCTCCCCACATAAAAGTCTATATTTTCCCCTTTGTTTGACCTCTGGTCAAATATTTATGCCTCTTACAGTAACACTTTTCCCTGGTGTACAGTATATCTCAGACTTATTCATTAAAGATTTGTATTTATTCATCTGCTGCATCTGCAAACTGAAAATTATTAAAACATTTGTGTTAGTTCTGCACCTGCTAAATGAAAAAATAAAATGTTGTTGGCACCTATTCATCTTGTGACTACACTGCAAGTTGCGTACAGTTCAAATTCTTGTTTCTATTTGCTCCAGTTATGATGCACTTCTTTCAAACATTAACTTTCCTGAAGACTTTAATTTTCTCAGCCAGGCATTCTTACTTTCTGCATCCCATTCTGACACCATGTAATATCTATAACGTGTGCACCTGACAAACTGCTGGAGTCTTTTAATTAAGGTCATACCCTATACTTAAGTTGCAACTGATAGTTATACATATCCGTGTTTCTGGTTTCCCTATTTGACTCTTTCTAGCCCATGTGTCTGATCCTCCCATACAGTTTTCCTATGCTACATACAACAGGCTGCAGGTCACTTACTACTTCTAAGTTTCTACCATCACTACCCTAGTCCCATATCCTCTGCTCTCTGATCCCTCTCCCTCTCCCCCCCACCGCTTCTTCCCCTTGCAGCTCTTGCTCCTGCTAGGGCTCTGCTCCAGTCAGGGGCAGGAACCATGGAGCACATGCTGCCCCCATGCAGCTATGCAGTGCTATGGCAGAGGCAGTTCTGGTCTAAGCTCCAGGGCCAAAGCTGCCGCTGCTGCTGCATGGTGGGGCTGGGGTTGTAGGCAGTACATGTGCCATGCTCCCTGGCCTGGCCAGAGTTGTGAGGGGGAAGGTAAGTGACAGTGGCAAGGGGAAGAAGAGCATGGGGTTCAGGTAGCAAAGAGGTGGCAACAGGTACAGGCAGGAAGCGTGCAAGTGAAAGGAGAGCAGGCGGTACAGGCACCACAGTGGGGGGAAGGGGGTAGACATGGGGCACACAGGCACTGCAGGGCCAGAAATGAGAAGAGGCAGGCCCTCCCCCCACATGCTATTTGCCATACTGTAACAGGTGGGATAGGGCAATTCTAAGACAACCCTCCAAAAGTTACAATCTAGACTTAGAAAATGATAACAAATGTATAAATTTTCCATGTCTAGAGTCTAATGGGGGAGGGCGTCTTAAATTCAAAGTAATCTTGGATTCAGGTATATACTGTAGTTCACAGATCACACTGCCCCTTCCTACATTAAAAGCCTGAAATAAAGACACATGGTGGTCTGTGAGAAATACTGAGGGTTGACAACATCTCATTTGTCCAAAACATTTGAGAGCCACTGCATTAATACATTACTAGAAAGAGCTCAGATACTGTGGCAAGTGGCACAGTGAAAGCCTACACAGAGAACAGTACAGAGAAGTCCAAGGTTAAGTGGCAGTAACCTCTGGCCTACAGGCGCTTTGTGCAGTTAGAAGTTATCTATTTATAAATAAAGAAATAGTAACTGATGAATAAAACTGGAGAAAAGAGGGTCAGATTTCAGGAGGTACCCAATTCAGGACAGCATGGGGTGGGTGGAGGTAACATAGGAAAGCAAGGTGAGCTCAGTGCCGCAGCAGATAATTTTCAGGTAACTCAGTTAAGATCTCCCTCCTACAATTCTACTTACCTTCTGCCTCTCTCATTGCTAATGAAACAACACTAGCATTTAATGTGTATGGAAATCTATATCTCTATACTTATAAGCAAATCAGACAACTCTGCCCACCCAAGACTTCTTTATTTCCATTCTCACTATTCTCCTCCCCACTCACTCTCCCCTCCAAAAACATAAGCAAGGACCTAAGTCTGTGCAAACTTTATTACAGCTTTTCAGTGAGAACCTCAGCCATTCCTGGGCCCTGAATTTCTTGTGCAGAAATCTGCAGTGCTGACTAGCCCTCAGTCAGTCACTTTGCTGGTCTACTGAAGTACACTAGCTGGTTATAAAAATCTGGTTAATAATAAACACCTCAATTCCAAAACCACTAACCCATATGATCAGTAGAATATCATAACTGTACTTTCCTTACATGAAGACTTAAGCAGAAGTTAAAATGTGAGAAATGTTAAAGTCAAACTTTACTTCTAAGAGCTGTGTATCAGAACATCACTTTTTAAAATGACTTAAAATCTTTATTTACAGAAGCTGCCTTTCAATGTACCACATATATCTCTGATCCTGGCAGACCATACGCTAATACAGATCCCTCCGCTAGACTATAACTCTGGAAGGCAATAGAAATTTGTATAAGAATGTGTTAGTGAAACCATTTGTAGTTCTGAAAGACCTAGTATATGTACAAAGGAGACCTTAAAAAAAAGTTTCATTCTGTTTGTCCCCGATTCCAAATTATATGCAGCTGAGGGAAGAAACAGGGTTTTTTCCCCTTTATATATAGTCTTTAATCCTTACAGCTCTCCTGCAAGCTAAATATTAAACTATTTAACAACTTGGGAAACTCAACCACAGTTAAGTGACTTGCACCAGCCAGGCAGTGGTAGACCTGGGTCAGCACCGATCTTACAGACACGCATGTTTTGTCCAGTAGCCTACATCCCTTCTTTTACGTTGCTTTTCTGATATAATTTTTTCTTGGCCAGTTCATCAGGTTGTTTTTTACCACAGACTATACCAGTGGTTTTCAACCTTTTTACACTTGAGGCACCCCTTATTAGGCTCAAGGCACCCCTTGGAAAATGCCAGCTTTTAGCTCTCACTCATGTTTTGACTGCAGAAAAATAACAAAGCAATACTTCTGTTGCAAAGAACTCAGGAAAAACCATGACACGTAAGCATGCCTTCGACACCACAGATTCCTGTTTGAAATCTCTGGGTTTACCGTACGCATTGTGGCAGGTGTTTGCACCCTGTGGCACCTTGAAAGTGACTCAGTTGAGAAACCCTGGTCTCCATCACCAAGCAGAGCTTCAAGTTGACCGTGGATTTAAACCCTGAGCTGACGGCCGACTACTTTGCCTGCAGCACCAGGAGGACAGACCGCAAAACTTAGTTTGGAAATGTCCCAAAAGGGATCCAACTACTGTGATGTTTCAGTTCGGCATCCCCCCTGTTCCCCTCTTCCTTGCTGCTTGGGATTTTCCTTCAGTGCTCATCTGAGTCCCTCCCTGCCAGCTCCCCTGTGTGCCCAGGACCTTCCCCACTCGGGAAGTGCCAAGCTGCCCTGTTGCCAATGCCTGCAGGCCCGGCCAGACCACCAGCTGCCCTGCCCCAGCCCTTCCAGCAAGGCCGGGACCGGGGGCTGCGCCCCAAGTACCTGACTTCCAGGACACAGCTCCCGGCCTTGGCAGAGGAAGGATGCTGGAGGGGGCAGCCAGGAGCCTCCACAGCAGCCAGCTGTGCTCGCCTCGCCGCTGCGATGCTTAAAATAGCGCGGGCAGCGCCTGTGCTGCCGGCAGGGCCCGGCTC